CAGGGACGATGATGGTAAGACGTACGAGCACTACCTGAAACGCCTGCATGACATAGCGGATACTTACATATCGAAGCAAAAACGTGCGCAGGCGGCATACAGAAAGCGCCAGAAGCGTGCTGTGGACGAAAGGTAGGCGGTGGGGCGGCAGTGGACTCTAGGGAGGTTTTCGGTGTTGATTCGGCGGACGGTTTTGAGCGCTTAATGGGCTCGTTTTTAGATTCGTACTGCTGCCAGTAAACTCATACAATTGTTGATTGCTTGCATATCCCGCATTGGTTCACTTTTTGCTCAGTTGCCGGTTTTCCAACCAAAAGACTGAGTCTCTGACGCACATACTTCTGAACATACTGAAAGATTGAGAGTCTACCACAAACACAGTATCTGATTTACATACCTAGTGTAACTTGAAAAGGTATGTTTCGAAATATAGAAATTGGCATGGAATCCGCACACATCCACACGAGAGCATACGCTCCTTTTTCATGAAGACCAGCGATTGCATGGCTTTCCATGATATCGGCGAAAACGGTTCTTACGCACACACAGCTTTTCACAGCAGTTTCGCGGAAAGGAGTTTTTATTAACGTTTGCCATGAGGAGAAACTCTCTAAAGAAAGCAAAGTTCTTTTGAAGACCCGCTTGAGGTCGGCAGAGTACTGTACACGTAGATAGTCGGTGCATGGAGGAGTACTTTTTTCTTTTTTTCTGAGGACCAAAGATTTTTCAATTCGCGTTCCGGCGTTTTGAACCAAATGCAAATCATCTCTGGAATGAGATGAATTTGTTTGATGACCACTGTAGCAATAGTGACAGTGATGGGGAAGCTCTGGATATTTTCGAGCTTTGATAGCTGCCGCTAACCCTCTGCTCCGATTTGTGACGATTTAGGGCGTCACAAAAAGTGAGACGATTTGTGTGACGATTTGTGAGAGTTTTGCTCTTTTCGCCGCCGTCATCTCATTCGTCTCACTCCATCTTCTCATTTGTCACACATGGTTTGTGAATATTTGTTGAATTGTAGCACTTTTTGAGAACGTTTTGTGATCATCACAAAAATCGTCCCAAACATCACACATTTTCGTGAATCTTTTGTGATGGTTTTGTGAGATGCATCTCAAACTCTCAAACGTCAACCTTAAGGATGTGCCCAACGATATTTTTTAGAATGGGTCAAAAACGCAGGTATATCATAAGGGCTATTTGTAGGTTGTTTTTAGCGGGCCACAACGTTTGAACTGCAACTCTACCCGCCTTTTTTCCTTCAAACTGCAGGGAAAAAAGGCGGGTAGAGTTGACGACGATATTGCGACCTTTGTAGCCCTTTTTGGTCGCGACGGGCACCTACGACCAACATGAAATGTGCTCTGTGCATCTCTACGAAGCGCAAGGCGACGCACAAAGTTTATGAGTCGCTGCCCAAGGTACTCCTCTCCAGAGGGGTGCCACATTTGGAAGAATCCGACAGAATATGCTGGCAGTGCATGCGAGAGAGCAGATTGGTTGCAGTCCTCGAGGGCGACGCGTACTTGAATGTCTGTACGGAAAACGAAGCCATGACAATCTTTTAAACTTCGGCAAACGATTGCCAAGACTGCGCCTCACATGTGGACGGGAGAACTTTTTTGACGAATGGGATTTGAAGGTACCACACTACTTTTAGCTCACGCATCCGGCTCAATCAATTGCTAACTCTTTTTGTCGTGTTTGCAGCACCTTTGCTCCTCCTACGCTTTAGATATCTAACGTTCCTATACAGAGCGCGTTTCCTGGCTCTGTCTACGAAGTCATGCGACATGTGAGCGCGCAGCATGGACGCGCAGACGACGTCATATCCCCGAGAGACCGACGCAGGGCAGTCAGATTGGTGGTTAGGGAGGTCATTTCTGGTAGCGTTATGCACACTGTCACAAAGCTATTCTAGGTTCCAAGAGCGCCCCTGGGAAGCGGAAAGATCGCAGGAGGTCGCTAGGGCTGGACAATGACCGAGCTGTGGTTGTCGTGCGCTCGAAGCGGCGTAGGTTTTGCTTTCCGAATGCCCCGACGATCAACGCGGCTGGGCTGCGCATGCCTGCGGCCAGCATGGAGAGTGACGACGATCTGGTTGACCCCGTTGGCGGGCATCGCTGCACACGAGGCACGACCGTTTCTCTAGGTCTGTACCAAGTAACAAATCCAAGCAAAGAGAAGATAGGCCGTGCCCAGGAGCCTTTGGAGATAATGAATGAGTGCGACTTGCCATCTTTTACGACATTGTGGACAGAACTAGTGCTCAGTCTGGCGTGTCAGGGCCGATGCTTCGCCCCTGGCAGCGCTGCTGTTGACGCTCTGAACATTATACCGCGAGGGACGATTGTTGAGGGGCGGGCCATTGTCGTGTCAGTGAAGTGCAGCGCGTGTCTGGAGGAGTTCCGCTTGAACCGAGGCTCTAAAGACCGCCTTGATGCGCAATCTGCTCGCTCGCCCGCTTTGTTGAACGTGTTGGCTTCAATCGCGATTGTGGTGCGTGGAGGCTCTCTACAAAAGATAAACACTTTCGCAGCGCTGACGGGAATGGGGCCGGGCATCGACGACACAGTTTCGTACCGGCACCTTGAGGATGCTGGGCTTCGGGACAAGCTTGTATGCGCTGCCAAAGCGGAATGCATGCATGCCCTCGACGTTTCGCTTGAGTCTGAGAATGACCGATCCGGAGATGCGCCTGACCTCTCTTTCGACGGCGCCTGGAGTCACGGGCGGAACGCGTCGGTTGGGTATGGGGGTTGCTTGCGCACCTCACAGAGAAGCCCGACGGCTACGTGACCCGCTTCCCAGCCGTCGGGTTTCCCGTTGTGCAAAAAGCAGGCATACTGGCCTCCGGCCAGTGGCAGTCGCTGACAGCGAGGATGCTGAGGAGGAGTCGAGCGTGGCAGATGTAGTCTACGTGTCATTTGAAGGAGAGCATGAAGTGGCAGGCGCGTCGCAGACTATTGAGGACTCGTGCTTTGAGGCTATCATGCCAGACGTGAACAAGAGGCTGGTGAGTGCTAAGAAGCAGGTTACGATCGTCTGTGACGGTGATTTGAGATTGGGAGCAAAGGCTCGCGAGCTAGACTGTGTTCGCGATATAGGACTGGACCTGCGCCATTTCTCGTCAACTGTCAAAAAACGTTTACTCAAGGCATATGGCGAGAATCGGAAGACGCCGAGCGAGGAGCACGTCGCGCTGATAGACAATGTACAAAAGCACCTGCTCTGGTGCTACTACATTGGAAAGCAAAACAAATTGTCGGCCTCGCAATTAGATGACGCAGTTGTTGGCTGTGTGGACCACTGGAGGGGCGACCACAGTCAATGTCCACCATCCTCCATCTGTGTCAAAAGTGGCTTGGGCTCGTCGTATCAGGTGCCCGCAAATCGGTCCCTGGCTTCTTTGAGCGAGAACAGCGCGGCGCTCCTGAAGCAGCGCATCCGGGCCGCATTGCCACGAGAGGAGTATCAACAGGTGCTGGTTGACGCAAACACTTCCATCAACGAGTCGTTCCATCATTCGATGGTCATCCACGGATCCTCCAACGGAAAGAGCGGCAACGACGGGATAAACGCAACTCTTCGAAGGAGCAAAGAGGTGCTTGTGTGGAACAGGGGCGTGCTCTGGACGGCAGAAGGCCTTCTGGACATGGTCTTCGGCAGCCGACAGGTGCTGTCTGAAGCCGACAAGTCATACCTGGCGCGGATCGACAAGCAGGTGGAGACCGACAGAAAGACACAGATGAAGATAGCGTGCGATGAGCTTGAGGCCCGTCAGAAGCACTCCGACGAGCGTGTGGAAAGAATGAAGCCGTACAACATGGCGTTTGCAACCCAGCTGATCCCGTACGGAGCCTATGCTGCAAAAATGCGTGCACTCCCGAAAGACAACGCTCTCACCAGACAGTACGCAAAAGTAGTCTTACCCGCACAGAGGCGACATGTGTACTGCAACTTCGAGAAATGCAGCCGCTGCAAAGTGCAGGAGAGACGAGAGGAGCGCGGGGGGCTTTGCATGACTTGCTCCGCGCGGCGGCACCTGGTAGTGGAGCAACGGCAGTATCCGTGGACGCTCAGTGTATGTTTGAGCTACGACAGAGTTGAGAGCGATTCTAGCGATGTCGCTTCCGGTTTTTTGTGAGCGAGGTCTTTGCCTGTGTATGCGCCTTGTCAGGGTCTCGTCGGCCGCCTAACTTCTCTACCAACAACAACCGAGCCCGAAAAGCAGCTGGAGCCCGGCACGGCAACGAGGCGCAGAATGCTGCGAAATCGAGTGGCGGACTTGACCGCAATAATGGATAAGCAGTTCGACTCGGCAACAACATAAAGGCACATAAACTCAAACTGAGCTCTTGTTAGCATCGAAGCCGGCTTGGTGGCGGGATCTAGAAGAATTGAACTCAGCGATGCGTGTAGGTCTTCCCTCAGCGCCTCTGCGTCAAGCCCCTCCTCCTCGCTAGCAGACCTTATGAGCTTTACCACAGCCTGCGGGGCGCCTTCGAAGGACCCGTTGCAGAAAAAAGCATTCACAAGCTCGTACCCCTCTTGCACACCTATCCCCCGCGATTTGAAGCAGCCCACCGCAGCCACAACTGCGAACGCAAAAACGGTCGCGTCCCTCGACTTCGACCTGCGAGACCCCACGGCGCCGGTGCACGCGACGCAGTCTCCGCAGTCACTTTCAGCATCCCAATCTTCATACCGCGCAAAAGCCAGACCAAGCAGACGCCGCAAGCATGCACCCAGCTGTGCACGTCGAGCCATGAGAGACATTTCGGCCAGGCCCCTATAGAACCTCCTTCGGTCCTCCGTGTCCTGCCTAACAAACTCGATTTCAGCCCATGCTGCTCTCCCATGGAGGCATCATCGGGCTCTGCCCGCCCACCGATGTCTACCGCCGCGGCGCCAGAAGCGGGCTGCCCGGGGCTAGGCAGACTGGACAGCGTGGCCCAGCCCGACATGTCCGCCAGAGGTGAGCACATAAGCACGCATCAAGCTGTTTGTCCTGCTCTGCGAGCCGCACGTCCGACGTGCTGTGCATAAGACGTTGCCGAATCGGGCAACCCGTAGTGAACGACTAAGCCAATACTCGGATGATCGATTCCCATCGCGATTGACGTGGTGCCAATGAGGCATCGAACCTCTCTGCTGAGCCACTTTCGCAGCCTTCGGCGCCTTGTCTCCATAGGAAGGGCGCTATAGTATACATTGCAGAGGCGGGTACCAGCACGCGCAGCGACACTTCCCAACTTCCGAAGACTTTCGCACACGTTGTCGCACTGCGACGGCAGCCGGCAAAACACAACTGCGCACTGAGCCTCCGGTGTAGCCTGCAATAGCTCGGCGATGCGTTTTGCAGCTCCTGTCACTCGGACCTTTGACTCAACCTCCAAGCGCAGACATGGTCGGGACACGCTGCTAATCAGAACAGTCCACGGCTCTCTCGGAACGTCTAGTTCCTCGGACGCGCGCGAGAGAAAGTCACCAGGCAGGGTTGCCGACATGAACGTCAAAGACACCATTTTTTTCTTGATGAATGGCCCAAGCCAACCCGCGAGCCTCATGTAACCCGACCGCCACTCCCTGTCCGCAACCCAGCAATGTGCCTCATCGATAACAACCCGCGTAACATGAACCTTCTCAAGAAGCAACTGCATTTGCCCCGAGCAGGCCTTCTCGGGAGTCGTCAACACAACACCGCCCTGATAGTGCACGACCGCTTCACCGCAGAGAGCCTGCTCGTCGTACTGCGACTGCCCAGTTAGTCGGAAGGCAAGTATCTGCCGAGAAACGCATTTGGCGTACAAATCATCGACAAGCGACAGGGTCGGAGCCACAAACAACGTGAGGCCCCCTCTCGCCAAGGCCGGGACAATGGCCAGCACCGACTTTCCGTGTCCCGTTGGAAGCTGCGCCAGAATGTTATGGCCTCGCGCGGCGCTTACAACATACCGCTTTTGCGAGTCATCGCGCCAGTGTTGCAGCTCAGGGAACAGAATGACCCCGAAGGACAGCAGTTGCTCCGCAAGGACTGCGTCTGGAACGTCCTCTGCCGGCTCGAGTGGCGCCATAGCGATGAAGCCCGGGTCGTTCGGCTCATCGGCGCGCGTGTCGGCCATGTCACGCTTGCTTCTCAGAAGTGTGGTACAATTGCGTACCACGACCACCCCGGGGAGATGTGAACCGGACGGAAGAGCGGATGCTACTGTAGCGACCGGGCTTACACGCTCCCGTAGCGGAGTACAGTAGTACCCCGCGGGTCACACGTGCTACAACCGCTGGCGTGGCCACGGGCACACGTGCGTAATCCGTACGGTTATAAGTAGTAATTAGTAGTTAATGGCACAAATTTATTAATTGTGTACAGTAGCTGGTATACAGTAAGTAACAGCTACTGTAGCCGGACAGGTGTCCTGGCGTCCCACTTAGGGGTTAAGACCGGGGGCACCTGCCCCGTCCCAGTAAAGAGGAGGCAGACTCGCCTCCCTTCCCTTTACGGCTAAGTGCTAACACCGTTCCGGTTTTCCTTTAGCGCGGGCTTCTAACCCGTGACCGGCCGTCCGGGTATAACAGCACCGACCGGCTGCGCGTCACCGGCCACGTGAGCCTTCCCTCTTTTCGAGTCCATCCGTACGGTTTTCATCCGCGCGTGGGTAACCCAGCGTCGCGCGCTCCCTCACCTCTAACCCCCCTCGTTCCGAGTGGTCGGGACGAAGGTAGTTATACCACAAGAAGGCTGCAGAGCCAAACCCGCTGCTGTTTGCCTCAACGTGACTCTGGACTTGGCCGTGTAAAACACTGTGCCCACTGTCTCAAGGAGATGTGGCGCATCGGGAATATCCATAAGACTGTGCTTCGCTCGACCACGTGATTAGGCAAAACTGTAACGGATCACCGAAATAATTGGCCACAATCGTCTGATGAGCGTCTGGATCGGACCAATCAGAAGCTCTGAAAGATCGTCGGGCACATCCTTAAAATCAAAACTCTCACACTGAGGGTGTGTCTTAACAGGCTGGTTTTTGCTTGCCTTGCCCGGTTTTGCCAGGAATACTTTAAAATTTTTAACAAATACCCAATGCTCCTGGCGCCGTCCAGCTGACCAGCTGACAGAGTCTGACGGACAGCTGCAATGAATCTGACAGGGATCTCCATTGCTGTCATAAGGACACGATTGCTGCGAGGCAGGTGATCGCGTCCCCATCACCAATGCCATAGATACGGATTAACAAACATGGTCGACGCACGGCATAACCAAATTTATTGGCGTTGGCCTCCGCGTCGCCGTCGCTGTTGCGGTGTGGTTGGGATGATGGCCAGAGAGGTCGAGCATTCCCATTGGGGTGGTGCGGCGAGGGGTTTTCTTTTGGCTTTCTCTCCGCCCATCCGCCCATCTCTTTTATGGTCTCAACGCCCTCTAGATTTCTATTACTGCAAGCCTTGGAGTAAAGCTTGCGGAACATGCATAGGGTGTGCTGTTGGACGCCGATAACTTCCACGTGCAATTATTTCAACAAGCTCCCTTCTCTTCATCGCTTGTCTAGATCCCCTGCAGTTTACAATCTGTTTATGATATTGTTTGCTGACCTCGTACCCCTTTTGACCTGGCTCCGTGACTCTTTTTTCCTCGTGCAGCTCCCCCACAGTGCGAGGCACCGCCAGACGCGCGCCATCTTTGCTCTCAAGACAAAAGTTATGAAGCTTCATGGCCAGCCCGATTATCTCTGCAGAATCGTTGACGCTGCAGCGTCAACGATTCTGCAGAGATAATAGTACATGTACTCTAGGCGCTTCAAAATTTTGAACTTGTTCACTAACATACCGAAAGACTGTTCTACGTGCATCCTGTGGGACAAGTGGAAGAAATTAAATGCGTCTTCAACGTCCGTCGCTTGCGAAGCCGCAATAGGTGTGATAAGAGATATACTACACACATATGCCTCGTCCCCCGCCATCCAAAATTCCGCCCGGAGCGCGCCGGTTTCTAAGTATCGTCCCAACGACGATACAGCATGGGCTAGGGAGTCGTGGGTTGAACCACGACAAACTTCAGAAAAGCACAAGAATCGGTAGTTAGAATCCACCGCCGCTTGAACCGGAATTGCGTAGTAGCCCTTGCGGCAGTAAAAGGTAGCAGGGTGTTCGTCACGAGATGGCTTACGAATCTTGATGGCAATGCCGTCTAGGGCACCGACGCATCCTGGTAATGGATTCCATGGATACCTTGATGTCTAAAATTCGTCTGCAATATTCTTCAGTCCGTCGTAAGAATCCGGTAGACCGGGTAGCCCAAGCTCTTCGTTCAGAGCTTTTCGTGTCTCTTTAAAATTTTGATACACCGTACTGCGCCCAACTTCAAACGCTGACATGCAACTGTAGACAGAATCTCCTGCCATCATACGTAACAAAATGCCAAGCCTTGCACAGGGCGAAACAGGCTCTCGACCGGCTCTTCGTGCCATACTGTCATTCTGCTGCAACCGATGGTGAACAAGAAACAAAAGTCGCTCGAAATTCTGGCGATCCACCCGTTACGCCTTCGAAAATTCGAAGTCATTAAACATTCGGTTACTTTTGTTAAAACTCCACCCCCGACGCAAATCTTTTGGTTTGAGAAGTCTCCTTCCCCGACGCGGATAACATTTGATAGTGTCATGCAGAGATATGATAGCTATGATAACTGCAGCAGCTGAAAGTACAGCGTTGTTCGTCTTACGGTTGTGCGCACTTTTTCGCGACACTCGACGCGAACGGCTTGGCGCACGAAGTGCCATCATGAAAAATCAGCTGGGATTTATAAGCGACACGAAAGAGTGCCACATTTGGCTCTTGCCGTTGTGCCATGATCCTTAGAAGGTGGGGACGTCGGGAGAGCAGGCAAATTCTATGGGGGTGCAGGCAAATTCGATGGGGGTACAGGCAAATTCGATGGGGGTACAGGCAAATTCGACGGGGATGCAGTCATATTCGACAGGGGTGCCGTCGAAAAAAATTCCAATTCTACTCCCGAAATCGGAGCCCCTTCTGCCCGGTCCATCCGATCCCCGTTCTCTTGCTGTCAGGTAATTTCCCTTCTCCCGGTCCACACCCACTGGTTCCCTACGTTTTCTCTTCTCCCCTTCCCATGTCGCACACTTCTTTCCCCCTGCCCCCTCCTCCACTCCTCTCCCCTCTCCACTCCCATCCGTCCTCTTTCCTTACCACCTCGCTCCCTCTCACTCCTCCCTCACATTCTTTCACGACTTGGCCCTCCTTCACTGCTCTCTACGTGCCCCACCCCCCTCTCAGCCGTCTCCCGCACGTACACGTCTTGCTTCTCAGCTTGCTGCAGTTCTCCGCCTCTCTTTCACAGCATGTCTACCCCACATATCAGTTTTACCAGCTTTTCCGCCAACACCCCCTTCCCCTCATTATTTCCCTTCACTCGCCCGCAAACCTTGTCCGTTCTCGACGCCTTGCCGCCGCCACAGAGAGGATCGTCTAGCATTCCAAAAAGAACACAAAGATCTCACACAAGCAGCAAATATACGCCATTGACGAAGGGCGGCGATTGCCTTCTCATCTGTCCAATTTTTACGGTAGAGACGGATGTGTGCATTCATCACAATACGAGGTCTCTCCAGGGGGGAGGGGGGAAACGCATCCGTCGTCGCTGGAACCGGCAGTGTCGCAGTTTTTCAATCAGACGAAGCGCGACAAGATGAGAGACGAATTGGCGATATTTTGTACCTGGTCGTCGAAACCTCCCCCACGGACACTGGGGAGGCTTTTGGCCTTATGATCGGCCGTATCGTATGATTCGTCTCGTCTTTATGCAAGGTTTTCTATCAGTACTGTGACCTTGAAATCTCGCCTCCGGTCTTGCCATGACCTTCAAACATTTAATCCAACATGCCAATGCGTCGCCCCTGACACTCATCTCCCTGGTCCGTCGCTCTTCCACCCTTTCCCTTTCTCCCTCGTGCCTCGCCATGACGTCCCGCTCGCTGCCCGTGCACATGCCTAACGAATGATACGATTGCTACCCGCCTTGGATACCGTGTTGAGTGGTGGCGACATATTTAGCGAAGATCCAGGCCAATCCATCTGCGGACGCCCCTGTCGACTTGTTTGCTGAAACTACAAGTGGCGAAGAGTCTCTAGAGGAGGTGGTTATTAGTGCGTTTGCTGGAAAAGAACGGCACGAAATCATGGAGCAACTTCCAACAATTTTGCGACTATGCCTGCTCGTAACGAGCTATCATAACAGAGTAGAAGGCCCTGACGACGAGCCGCGCACTATTTCGAAAGCGACGCAAGTCTTCACCGCCGTCAGCGCTATTAGTCAACGCAGCTATCGCACCGATGAGGAGGCAGGGCAAATACTGCAGTCAATGGCAGATGGCGTAAACGAACCTGCGTGGCCGAGGTCTCAACTGGGTGTCATGAAACTGGCGTATTCTGAAGTATGGCGGCGAAATCTTGCACGCATGGAATCATGACCGCCAGCATTGGCGTCAGCGACCGCAACACGGCATGGGACGTCCCTGGAAAAGTGGCCACGGGGTTGAATGACACGCTCAGCGGACTACAGCCGGTTTGTGCGGGTGCTGCTGGAGGAAGGGTGATGGAGAGCAAGTCGACGAAGAGGGCAAGAGATTACTATGAAAGGAGGAAAGCGGGGATGAGCGTCGGCAACTATTGGCGGCAGACTTTGGCTGAGATTTTTAGGAGGGTGGCTCCTAAGAGCGAGAATGGTGAGGAAGGGAAGAGAGACAATGCTGCGGTCGTCGTGCGAGAGGAGACTGAGCCTGAACAGGACGATTCGAGAAAACGCACAAAGAAAGCGATAGACGTTTCCGGATGTGAGGAGGCTTTGGTCCAAAGAAAGAAGTTGGAGAAGAGTTCGTAAATTGGTGATACCAAGAAATGAAAGAAGAGAACCACAGTACTTCAACAGGAAGACGTGGACCGGGATTCAAAAGCTTGTTCGATTGAGGATGCCTTCAAAGAAAAAGGATGCTTCCACGGATTTGTAAGTCTTAATGAACGTCAAAGACGAACCAGTCGCAGGTGGGCTTCTCTCTGATTCCACCATAGAGTTGCCCATAGTTGGGGTGAGGAAGGAGCATAAGGTTGC